ACGAACTCAAGGCAGTACAAGCAGACAGTCAGGCAGTGAACAACCAAGACCGATTATTTACACATTGCTTACCTGAATTTCTCAAGCTTCTGCTCGGTTCATATTGATCTCCAGTCAACTAAAGACGTCTGTTTTTCCAGTTTTGTCAATATCCACAGAGTTTCTTTGCATACATTGTGATTTTGACAAAAACTCAGAAACTCATGTGTTGATCTCACAGCAAAAATCTGGCTCATCTCTAAAATGGAGAAACCGAAATTCCTGAAGTGCAGATGCTTGCACGGGACACAGTTCACAAAAAAAGGTTGACACTTACTGTTATGGGTTGACTTGTGCCACCTCCCCTTCATATGTCAAAGTCCTAATCCCCAGTACTCCAGAATGTGACCTTAGTTAGAAGCTGGGCTGTGGCAAATGTAACTTGTTAAGATGAGGATCATGCAGGAGTAGGGGAGTCCCCAATGCAATATGACCAGTGTCCTTATAAAAAGGGTTTGGACACACACAGGGAGAAAACCATGGGAAGATAAAGGCACAGGTCTAGTGATATGCTAAAGCCAAGGAATGCCAAGATGTCCAGCAAACCCCTAGAAACCAGGAGAAAGGCATGGAGCAGATTCTTCCTCCTAGCTCTCAGAAAGACCCAACCCTGCCACATCTTCACTCTGACTTATAGCTTCCANCTTATAAAAAGGGTTTGGACACACACAGGGAGAAAACCATGGGAAGATAAAGGCACAGGTCAAGTGATATGCTAAAGCCAAGGAACGCCAAGATGGCCAGCAAACCCCTAGAAACCAGGAGAAAGACATGGAGCAGATTCTTCCTCCTAGCTCTCAGAAAGACCCAACCCTGCCACATCTTCACTCTGACTTATAGCTTCCAGAATGTAAGACAATAAATATCTGTTTTGTTACAGCAGTCCAGCAAACTAATACACCTATGATGCCACCTCATGATGCCCATCCATTGGGCACTTCCCCATGTCCTCACTTGCCACCACACTTGCTCAGTCAATCCTCACCTCCTACCTGGACCACTGCAACAGCCTCAGCTGCTCTGCCTGCTTCCAGACTCTCCCCTCATTAAACACCACTGCACCAGGGTGAGCTTTCCTTATCATAGCTTAGACTGTTGAATTTCAGCAGGAACAATAAAAAAAGCAATAAGAAAAAGAACCTCTGGATGAAGACGTTGTATATGCCAGGCATTGTGGGAGACACAAGGACACAGTTCTTACTGTCCAGGAGATCCCAACCAAATGGGATGGATGAGGACA